TATATATATATATATATATATATATATATATATATATATATATATATATATATATATATATATATATATATATATATATATATATATATATATATATATATNTATATATATATATATATNTATTTATATATATATATATATATATATATATATATATATATATATATATATATATATATATATATATATATATATATATATATATATATATATATATATATATATATATATATATATATATATATATATATATATATATATATATATATATATATATATATATATATATATATATATATATATATATATATATATATATATATATATATATATATATATATATATATATATATATATATATATATATATATATATATATATATATATATATATATATATATATATATATATATATATATATATATATATATATATATATATATATATATATATATATATATATATATATATATATATATATATATATATATATATATATATATATATATATATATATATATATATATATATATATATATAAACATGCATATCACTATATTGTTGCACTGGTACTTTTTTATTTTTTATTATTTTTTATTTTATTACTTTGCTTTGAGTTAGATTGAGTTAGATTCAAGGTATTATTATACAGTATTAGATATCATACTGAGTGGTAACTACATAGTTTAATGCTGAACAAAAAGTAGCCCACCTTAATATGTATTTTAGATTCTAGTCTTTAGATACTGGTTTGTTCCATACTTCAGCGTAGATTTCTGAGATGTTTTCAATCAATGTAATGGGCTATAGGCACAGCTAGTGCTTTTCAGCTAATGATAAACTTCCGGTGAAAGGTTAATGTGAATATTTAAAAAAATAATTTTCAAAATTACATTACTGAAATAGAGTTAAAAACATTACTGTTTTTGCACTTTGTTGGACTGATTGCTTTTTCAATTAAATTACATTTTATTTATAAAGCACTTTAAAACAACACAGTTGACCAAAGTGCTGACATTAGAGAGTAAAGCAAAGCGTAGCACATACTTTCAAAGAAATAAATAAACATTAAATGTCAACATCTCATGCTGTGCTAAAAGCCACCATATTAATAATAAAAACACAAGAATTTCTCACACATTTTAAAAGAGGGTTTGAAACGGAGCCTGAGGGGCATTAAGAATGGAATCAATTGACTTAAGTAACACACAAGGTTTATGACAAATGGACATGATAGTGTTTGCAAAGTAGCTCCATTTTGTTTCCTTTACAGTGGACTGATATAGATCAAATTGCTCAATTTTGCTCATTTGTAAGTCACTTTGGAAGAAAGAGTCTGCTAAATAAAAATGCAAATTCCATTACGTTTCTTCTTTGAGGTAAATATACCTTTAGTGTTTGTTGCAACAACAAATTTCTAGGCATTGCGGATCATTGATTTATTTAAATGATGCACTTTTTTGTGGGTTTCATAAATACGAAGTCAAACAATAATCAGTGCTTTTCTTTAAATGCATTAGATCTAAGTTTGTTTGTTATTTCATCGGGTGAAATTTAAAAATGTCTTAATAAAAAAAAAAAAAGTTCTCATAGAAATTTCAGGATATACTGCTTTAATAAAACCTAGAAATAGGTTATCTGTAGGGATACATGTTCCTTTCCAATGAAAAGCCTTTCATTGAAACATTTCTAAAATAAAATGTGTAAATTACATTTTGAGGAAGCAAAAATCTGGGTATCACTTTATTCTGATCGTCCCTTTAACGCATTTTGTTGAATTTAAGTTACATTGCATCCACATGCCAACTAATTCTCAATAGACTGAATAAATATTCTTATGAAAAAATTATATGTCTAAATAATTCTCATTAATAATTCTGCAAGTAAATATCACAAACTTAATGAACAAGCAAGATCATTAAAATAAACACAACATTCTGAAATAGAAAAACATAAACAGAAAAAAAAATCCTTTAATATAAATTTTACATGACTGCATTGTTTCAATCACTGATTTGTTTGAATAGTTTGAATCACTGACTTATATGACTTTTTTTAATAATAAAAAAAAGTTGCAATACTTGTATTATAAAAAGTCTATAAAAGTCAGTTATTCAAACGAGTAGCATTACTTTGGTCTACTTTTGGCTGCTTGCCATATAATGTTTTTCATATGGAAAAGAATGGCAACAGAATCAGGTAAATTGGTAGTTACGTCATCTTTAGCCATATTTTGTCGCACTATTATGTTTTTCTCTTCTTCTTCATTCTTTTATCACATTTTACCTGTTTTTGTGTTTTTTTTTTTACTCATTTTTATTATTTGTTTTTATTTTTATTTTACTTGTTTCTTTTATTCTTGTTTTTGTAAAACACTTTGAATTGCCACTGTGTATGAAATGTGCTATATAAATAAACATGCCTTGCCTTGCCTTTGGTAAGGGAAAAAAGGTTACTATCTTAGATACTACACACACAGATTGGACCCTAGAATGTGCAGTCAATCAATTGATCAATCATTCAATCAATCAATCAATCAATCAATCAATCAGTCAGTCAGTCAGTCAGTAAGTCAGTCAATCAATCAAATTGTGACTGACTGACTGACTGACTGTGCAAAACCAGAAATAAAGAATAGACATTCTTTACAGAAATAAATGGTGCACACAGACATGTACAAACACTAACCTGAGTGGTTGGGAACAGGCTCAGTGATGGCAGGTGGGAGTGGCACTCTGCTGTTTGGTATGTAGGGGGCGCTGTCATGCTGACTAGACACTGATGACTCAGAGCAAAGAGCCTTTGGACCAAGATCAGAGGATGACCTAACGACATGGCAACAAAGTCACGCATGCATTGACATAATTTTACCACCAGGTGACAGTATTGATCCACTAACAAGTCAGCTTGAGTCTTCAGAAAATGAACATGACAGTTACAGAGCTTTTTTTTTTTTTTTTTTTTTTTTCATTTCTATTTGCCTCACTATTTATGAGCTTTGGATTTGTTATAATTTTGTTACATCAAAAATGAATACACTATTTACTTATGTTATTTCAATTGAGTTGATGAGTTGTTATTAATATTAAGCTCCAAAAAAGGAAAATGTGCACAATTAAAGTATGAATGAATGTATAAATTAAACCTTCTGATTCCATAGAGTCATCTCTGTTTATGAGTAACAAAGCAATATTTAACTTTTAATTCATATTTGATACAATCCAAATGGTTATAAAGGGCACAAACTTAGCATTATGGGATGCTATATGCTTCAATTACACAATTAAAAAGTCAAATATATACCAAACACATTAATACGATATAACATTTTGTGCAAATTGACTCCTTTATTGGTGCTTTTAATGCATAATGGAGATTTTTTTAGAGCTTGCCAACTTCTCCACTTTACCATTTTTGTATGTGGAATCAGCGTTCATTTAAAGATAAATAAGTAATTTGAATTTATAATGTCATGCAGTTAATGAGAGTAAATAAATTATTAGGAAAAAGCTTTTAAAACAAGATGTAAGTAAATTTCTGACCGTCGCAGTGAGGATTCAGGTGGAGGACCTGTTCTTGGTGGGACAGGGGGTGGAGGAGACCCAAGAGCCATTTCAGGAAGCTGAGTAAACCTGAATGCCTATTCCAGAAATTAGTTCCATATTAGTATTCACAAATACTATATGCTTAAAATGATTAGCCCTCCTGTGATACTGTCAATTATTTTATTCTTTTAGTCAGTGGGGGTTCTGGTGGTTCAAAAGACCCCCGCCCCCACCAACTGACAAAGGTCCAGTATTTGTGCCACACATGAGCTCACTTGTCCTATTTTGACTGTAATGCCATCATAAGTTATCAAAACAACTTATTGAAAAAGGCTTTAAGACCAAGCGGAATCTGATGCAAGTACAGTCAACTTTCACTGTATTGTTGTTACAGAGAAAACATTTAATAAGTAACTTTTATTCTAAATCTTATTATTATTATTGAAATAAAAAAATACCAAAAAAAAGTTGTGAAACACCAAAAGCAGACTATATGAATAAGTATTAAGCTATTGTTTTTATCCATGAATTTTCAAATGTACTTTTTTTTTTTTTACAAGAGAAGCTACAAAAATTGTAAAGCTCTACATTATTATCATATTGTTTACTTATTTTTATTATTCAAATTGCCAAATTCTGAAACCAAGTATTGTTTTTTTTTGTTTTTTGTTTTTTTGCCTTATAAATGACAATAGTGAAATAACTGCAAAAAGGTCCACTTTTTAAAAAAGAAAAAATAAGAACCACCCCATTCACTAGGTTGGCTACGGGTCTGATATAATAGTCATAATTGCACAACAGTTTTTTTTTTTTTTTTTTTTTCAATTTCACAGGATGGCAAATAATTGTGTATAACTGTCTATTCACTGGAATATTGAACAATTGACATATAAGCAAGCAAGGTAGCAGTTTCTATTTGTAGACATCTGTACAATTTAGATTTCTAACACACACAGTTGCCACAATAATTCAGACCTTTTAGACTGATCACTCAGCATCAATTAAAATAAATTGACAAAAATAGACAAAAGCAAACAATTTATAGTTCAATTGATATATTTACATGAATTTATACACGTGATGTTTGGAATAATCCTTTTTTATGTTTTTTAAATAATTTATTTATACTCGCCGCAGGCATTATTTAGAAGCACACTGAATACAGTAATACTGTAAAATGTAACGTTTCTATTTTACTGTTTTAAAATGCAATTTATTCCTGTAATGGATATTACTGTCGTATTGAGTGTTACATTATGTCGATTTGGTACTCAAGCAACAATTCTTATTATTATCAATGTTGGAAATGCTGATAAATAGGTCATAATAATATTATCGCTGTCAAAATTAGTGCGTTAACGCATGCGAATAATTTAAAATAATTAACACGTTAAAAAAATTAATGCAATTAACGCAGTTGCAGGTTTTTTTTTACTTCCTGTTGTGGTGGACGTGCGTTTAACATGCAAGAAATGTGGATAAGGCCAATGAAGCACTTTTTGAAGGCAAGTTTCAGTATAAAACAATTAGTCGCATCACAGGTTATCCAGAGTTTCATGCAATTTCGGGTGTTTCATTTTTAACTTTCGACATCTGTTGTAAGTTGATACCGCATGGCGAACAGAAAGAAAATCCTCCGCATTTCGTGACTCGGTGTTCCTTTAAGGTAATAAAATTACTGCTTAGCTACACGGTAGAATTGTAATAAGAGTATTATCTTAATCATATTAAAATCGGAGTATTGGTGTCTTATGTATGTGAATGTACTCAGAAAGTCTTGGGTGAAGTCGCGAGCTGTCAAAGACAGGGCATTACTCTGCCTTTCAGCATGAGCCCCCCAAGTTTAGCGTGTTTCCTCATTAAACGCAACGAAAGCGTGTGCTTCGCGTTGTTGTGTCAGAATCCTTGTGAAATACAGTAATACTTTAGGATGCTTAGTTTAAGCAAATTTGATAAACGTGATCATGCGTGTTGAATCTAAAGGGCAGTCGCTCCAGTATGGAAGGCCGTTGGGGCAAAAACGTCTGCAGCACATTGTGTGTGTGTCTGTGTGTGTGTCTGTGTCAGGCCCATTGAGGGGTGTCAGGGGTGGAGTGAGCGACATATCTGAGTAGGGGCGTGTGCGCGCGAGATGTACCTGAAGGACGGTGGGGTTGAGTTGCGCGCGACATAGGCTACCTAAAGAGCTAGGAGGGATGCGGGGGAGAGGGGTGTGCAATGTATTTAACGACCGGTTTGCGAGAAAGTATCATTCATTTGCGGGCATTTGGGAGTCTCTGTGCACTTGCGGGATACTCCTAGTCTTAGCAACTGGATAATTGTAAAGGAAGATTAAGCTAAATTGTTTCTACTCTATAACTAATATTCTCAACTCACAGCAATAAAACTTTACAATGAGTGCAAAAGTTTGTATAAAATAGTTTATTATTATAATTTTCAATTTTCCATATCTGTAATGCCTTTATTTTGGCATTTTTTTGCAGTCCACATAGAATCCAACATGGAAATCAATGTTTTCTTTATTGGCATTGATTGTTTTGAAATTTAAATGTCATTAACATGCCTGTGTTTTAATTTCTTTAATAAATATGGCTGTCAAGCCAGGATCTTGATGGTTTATTGTGGGTATGCTGTTCACATGAAGAAAACTGTTTTACAAGTTAAACAAAAATTCTATTAAACAATTTTATTTAGAATTTTAATTCTAATAAACATCTATATTTTGAAGTTAAATAGCTTTTGTCTTGCGTTTACATTAATTTTACATTTGAATAGCCAAAATTAATTGCGATTATTTTTTTTAAAAGGTGCAATTAATTAGTTAATTGTTTTAAATCAATTGACAGCACTAATATATATATATATATATATATATATATATATATATATATATATATATATATATATATATATATATATATATATATATATATATGTGAATATGTGGAAAAATAAGAAAATATAAATACATAAAAAAATAAAAATACAAAAAAAAAAAAAGAAAAACACAAAAGAAAAAAAAAAAAGAAAAAAAAAAAAAAAAAAACAAATAAAAAAAAATAAAAAAAAATAAATAAATAAA